AGCAGGGCAGCTCCAGGTCTTGGGCCCGTGCGCTGCGGACCCGGAGGGAGGGAGGGAGGGAGGGAGGTCTGGAGGCCGCAAGGGGCGGGCCCGGGGAGCGACCTAACCGCCGGCTGGTCTTAGCCAACACTCCGGGCCGGTGACTGGTCTCAGAGCGCCTCCTGGTGGCCGAGCGCGGGATTCCATGCAGGACAACCCGGGACTGGGAGCACCTGGGTGTGCGCACGAAATTGGGTGGACTGAGCTAGACCTAAATCAGCTGTTTGAGGGAGGATCGCCCTCCTGAGGAGAACATGAGGGATTGGTGGATGTCAAGGCCGTGGAATGCCAGAGCCCTGGCTTATTTTGTCAACCCTTGCCCATTTTAGAAATGAGAAATGAGGCCGGGGCAGAAAATATGGTTTGTGGGGGCCCATCCAGCCCGTGAGCTTTGCCTCTGTGCCGCCTCTCCATATCAGGGTCTAGCTCAAATCGCACCCACTCCAGGAAGCCTTCCCTGACCAACAATGACGAACCCACTTTATGTCCCATCAGATACTTTACACCAGGGGTCCTCAAACTACGGCCCGCGGGCCACATGCAAATACAAGTATTGTATTTGTTCCCATTTTGTTTTTTTACTTCAAAATAAGATATGTGCAGTGTGCATAGGAATTTGTTCATAGTTTTTTTAAAACTATAGTCCGGCCCTCCAACGGTCTGAGGGACAGAGAACTGGCCCCCTGTTTAAAAAGTTTGAGGACCCCTGCTTTACACACTTGTCTCATTTGCTACATTCTGCCAATATTTATTAAGTGCCCCCCACTGCCTACCAGACACTCTGCCAGTTACAACGGTGGCAAAGAGAGACCAGGCACCTGCCCTTGTGTTGTGCAGTCTGATGAAGGATTTGCTACATTCTGCCAATATTTATTAAGTGCCCCCCCCCACTGCCTACCAGACACTCTGCCAGTCACAACGGTGGCAGAGAGAGACCAGGCACCTGCCCTTGTGTTGCGCACAGTCTGATGAAGTAGGTAGAAGCTCATCTGAAAGCCATGCAAATGAATGTACAACCACCCACGGGGAGAAGGACCATGACTAAGTATAACAAGGAACCTGGTCTGGTGGGAGAGGCAAGGGGGGAAGGCTTCCCTGAGGAAATCATGTTTGTGTAGCAGCCATCAAAGAACAAGAGGATGGAATCTGGAGAGGGCAGGTGGGGAGTACTGGGGAAGCAGGAGGAGGAGATATGCAAAGGCCCTGGGGCAGAGCAGTGTGAGTCAAGGCTGAGGATCTGCAGGAGGCCAGCCTGGCAAGAGTTCAGAGCACAGGGAAGAGAGGCAGTAGATGAGATTGAGGTTTGGGGGAGGGGAGGGCCCAAGTCTTTGAGGGACTCCTGTGCCAGGAGAGGGAATTTTGTTGTTGATGAGAGCAGAAGAAAGCTGTTGAAGGGCTTGGTCAGGGGAGTGACCCTGCGTTTTGGAAAGCTCCCTCTGACTCCCCAATGAATGGCCTGGAAAGGGGCAAGAGCAGCAGCAGGAGTGGTTAGGAGGCCAGAGCCGGACCAGAGGAGACTGTGGAGGTCTGCACCAGGTGGGGGTGGAGGCAGAAGGGGATGTCAGTACAGGGAGAGGCTTCGGTGGGGGTTCATGAGGTCAATTCTGAACATGCTGGCTTGAGGAGCCCTTGAGACATACATGCAGACATGACAAGGCTCTGGAATGCAGAGGAGAGGTGGGTGGGCGAGAGGAATCTGGGTGCTCAGCGTGGAGACAGTGCGGGCACAGGAGAGATCAGGCAGACTGTAGTGAGTGGAGGGAAGCAGGCTCGGGCCTGGCTGGGGGACTCAGGAGTGCATCCATGAAAGACAAGAGGGGAAATGGCCACAATGTCAAGGGCAAACCAGGACAGGGTGGCACCCCAGAGGCAGTGGGACAGAGAGTTGCAAGGGGAGGGGGTCCATGTGGTCAGACTCCAGAGAAGCCAACTGGGATGGGACACGGAAAGGTCCGCTGGCTTTAGCAACATGGCCATTGGCGGGCTTGGCAGATGCTATACCAGTGAGGTGAGGGTAACAGCAGAGGCTGGTAGAGTGGGGTGAGGGGGCAGGGGAAAGGCAGGGGACGCAGAGCGTATGGACATGATGTGAGAGGAAAGATACTTTCGAGACGGGTGAGGCTAATTGTGACCAATACCAAGGAGAAGGATTCGGTTTAGAGAAGGCAGTTGATGAAATGGAGGAGAGGCGTCTCTGAGACGCTGAAATGACACCAGGGTTGGCACGCCGGAGAGTCTGGTGGCTGCTCCCTGGGAGACATGAGGGCAGGGTCAGAGAACAGGAAGCCTGCCGTGAATGTGGAGGAATCCGGGGTGACAACCACCTCCAGAGTGTGACCATTGGTGAGGGTTGCTGAGGTGTCATGGAAATGCAAGGTCATCCTCTCGGACAATAGAGTCACCTGGGATTTAGCAAGACCTGGGTGAGTAGAAGACTGTGAGCCAAGACTGAAGCATGGCAAGAATGAGGTGGAACACAGCCCTTGGGGTGGTGGCGGGAGGAGGCAGGGACAGCCCAGTGGTTCCCAGCCTTCAAGGAAGGAAGGAGGGGTCTTACAGGAGGAAGATGGTCTGGAAGCAGCTGTGGGGAGCGAGGGTACCAACCTCTTCTTCATGGGAATCAAAGCAGCACCCCTTGGGGGAGAGGGTCAGGGAAGCAGTGTTCCCGCGACAGCCAATTTAAAAGAGCCCGAGTAGGGGAGGGGTGAAGGGCGGGCGGTCAGTGACCAAGGATGGAGACCACCTGTGTGGGGGGCAGAAGACAGATGGGGGCTGGATTCGCACTGCCTGCAAACCAGGAATGAGGGGGGTGGCAGGTTAATCCTCCTGGTTAGCCTCTGCGGAGGGTGCACCCCAGGCCAAATGGACAGTGGCCTGGGAGGAGCCGCAGAGCCACCTCAGAAGGAAGGAACTCTTGTTCCCATTTGACAAGGAAACGGAGGCAGAGTCAGAGAGAGGTTAAGTAATTTACTCAAGGCCAGGGAGCATAACCACTTATTACTAAGTGATTATATTATTATTATTAATTACTGTGTGCAAATCTTGGAGCAGAGTTTGAACTCTTGTCAGTCTGACTCCTAAGTAGGTGCTCTTGTCCATCCTGCCTTTCACAGCCAAGGTGGGACTCCCTGCAAAACAAAAAGCGGCTCCTTTCCCCACCCCAGCCTTAGGAAGGACAGCAGCACTGTGTGTCTCCCGAAACCCCAACTTTGGTGTTTCTGGCCTATGAAAGGCTACTGTCTCCCTGCACCCCAAAGCGGGTGGGGCTGGCAGCCTGCAGGGCCAGACCCTGAGCACTAAGGATGCATCAGTGTCTGGTGGCCCAGTGGTTGCAGAGCATTGAGTAGAAAAGGAGGGATGGTGACCAGGGTGCTCCCAGGATAAGGTAACAGCCCCCCCTTGGTTTCCCAGATCCCACATAAGCCTTCAGGCCCCCTCTGCGTGGCTGAGATGGGGTTTACTGCCAGCCTGGGGGCTCCTGTACCTGGCTCGCCTGCCCCTCTGAGTTCTGAGCTCCGGGAGGCTTTGGGCTTAGGGATGCTTAGTCGTTTCTCCACAGTCAAGCCCAGCACTTGGTTCACGACAGTCCGTCAATATTTGCCGATTAAGCCTGCTGTGCAGCCGGGGACCTCCAAGCCAGTGGAGCCAAACTGTCTGACGCCAAGTCCCGGCCCCACTCTGGGCTAGCTTGGTGACTTTGAGCCTCAGTCTCCTCCTCTATCAAATGGGTTTTGCACTTGGTTTAATGCTCTGCTGTCCTCATTTTGACCTTCTTAACCCAATTTCGGAGCAAGGGGCCCCGCATTTTCATTTTGGGTTGGGCCCTGCAAATAACGTAGCTAGTCCTGAATGGGAGTCATGTTACCTACTTCAGAGGGCGGTTGCGAGAATTAAAGCAAGTAATCTGCCTAAAGTGCTTAGCACGTGAGTGCGTAATAAATGGGTTCCTCGCTATTCCATCAACCCAACGCCCATGTGTGACAAATGAATGGAAATGATCACATGAGCGAGGGCTCAGGGAGCATCTGGGAGCCACAGTGCCAGGCGGAGGGGGCTGTGCGGGGAGGGGAGCGATTGCCACAGCAGCCGGCGATTCGCGGTGTGGTCCAGACCCGCCGCCACGTCCCGCAAAGAGTCCACTTGGTGAGAGCGAGACCCTGGGTTCCAGTCTTTATTGCGGGGACGTGGCCTCGGCCGCGAGCAGTCCAGTGGTCCGTCTCTAGCTCCAGGGCCTCCCAAGCATCTGGGTCGCTGTCGGGGCTTCCCCAGCGGATCCTAGCCTCGCCCCAAAGTCTGGGGAGCAGGTGGGCGCGGTCCGGGGCGGGGGCGGGGGCGGGGCCTCGGCCGGAG